GCAATCATCTAATCGTGAATAATCTGTATTAATGCAGTTTTGGGCTTTAATGCACGTTTCCATTTCAAAGCATGATGCTACATCCGCAACACCAACAGCTAACAGCTAGTCATTTCTAGTCTGCAACAAAGTACACTGCATGAACAGACTGAAAATGAAGGTCAGAAGAGAGCAGAAAGTCATAGTAAGTACTCTGCTAGCTCTGAGCGACACGTGAACATGATTCCGAGCAGTGTGTGACCTGTGATGCGGGCGTGAAGAGTGTGTGTCAGTCCCTCTTTGGCTCGCTGCTTTGGAGAGGCTCTCTCTGATAACTCCACCGCTGTTTTTTGCAGCACTTTATCAAATATAGCCAGGACATCATTGGGATAGGCGTTGAAATAATCCCCAACCTGAGGTTTAATAGAGGGTGAGAAAGAAAAGACCAAACTACAAAACATAGATTTTACATATATTTGTACATTTAATAGTGTTACGCAAACACATTTTGAACATAGTAGATTGTATTTGAATTGTGTTGACATTACCTCCATATTGGCTTCAAACAAAGTCATGGCGTTAACAACCACAGCGCGATGGGTGTCTTCATCAGAGTCAGCGAGTAGGTGGAGGATGTCGCCATGGTGATGCTCCGTCAGGTAGCTTTCAAACACTCGGCCAATCAGGGCTTCCTGATCCGGGCTTATCAACATAGTGACGTAACGTGATGTGAAGCCTGGAAAATAGTCATGAGCAATGCAACGGTCAAGGTGTGACATGTGTATTCCCCGTGGACAAACAACTCTTTAAAATGTTTAACAAAGTTCATTACAAATTCATTAATGTTATAAATATGTACATGTCTATTGAACAGTAAGATAACTGCATGGACTCTACAGCAGGGCTTTCATTGGAAATCAATATAACAATGATCTGGCAGGAATGTGCTTTTATGATATGAATAACCCTCTCCGGACACTTTATTGGGTAAACCTTGCTACCGGGTTGGACATGGTGAGTTTGAGGCCTTTCGCCCAGAGAACTGCTGGATAGTTTCTCTTGTTCTGACTCTGTAAACCCTAGAGATGGTTGTGGGTGAAGATCCCAGTGAATCAGCAGATTCTGAAATACTCAGACCACGTTCAAAGTCACTAAAACCACCTTTCTTCCCATTCTGATGCTCTCTTTGAACTTCACCAGGTCGTCTTATCCATGGGTGTTTCTCAATGTCGAGTACGCTTGCTTGGTAGCACGTGTCTTCCGAGCGTCTTGCTTCAGAAGCGAGGCGAGAATACTTCCTAGCATTCTGAAAACGAAGAGTGGAAGAGGCGAGCAAGTGTGCAGGTGTGCGTCATATGAGAGGCCCCGCCTTACATTTTCCGCCACAGATTTGGGGAAATTGGTCCGTGCGCAAAGCATTGTGGGGATTTTAAGACTGCAGAGTCTACACGTGTGCAGCCTCTACATTTCTCGCTACGAAGTACGCCGGGCTCGGTAGGTTTCCAAGTATGCTGGACATTGGAACAGTCCTTCGGCGGCACTCGATGACGTAGTATGCTTGAAATAGTGGCTCTGGAGCAGCCTTCCTCGACATTGAGAAACTCCCCATGTCTGCATGCATTGAGTTGCTGCCATGTGATTGGCAGATTAACGTTAACGAGCAGTTAGGTGTACCTAATAAAGTGAGTGTACATCTTCTGTTTTATTTCTAGATATATATTAGGAAGATGTTTTACCAAAACAATATTTAATATATGGAAAACGTTTTGAAGAGACCACATTAACTTCTCCATTCATTGTTTTCAAATCAAACCAAAATACCAACTTCCAAAGACATTTGGTGAGAAAGAAAAAGCACCACATCCTCTCATTGCTGAAAGTGGTGATAGTGAGTCTGCTGAACTTTTGCTCGAAAATAAAAAAGTATTGTTATTTTGTCTATTTGCTGACTTTAGATGTGAGTTTGAAAGAAAATAAAAACGCGATGTCAGTGTTATTCAATAACATATTAGAGTGACGTATGCTTATAATAGACAACACTTTGATTGCTATAACAATAAAGCATGAGTGATTTGATAATCCCTCTCTGGCATATGACACGGAGCATACAGTTTAAAGAATGAACATAACATTGCTCACTGCATAACAATACCATGTTAGATTTATTAACAGCTGTTGTTAATCATAGTGAATATATGTTTTAAACACACAGCCATGTGTGTTTCTAACAGAGGTTGGAAAAGTACTCAGATCTTGTAGAATTACCAGAGTGTAGGAATACTATGTTACAAGTCAAAGTCCGTCATTCACAAAGTTCCTCAAGTAAAAGCAGTGCTTGAATGGGGCCGGTAGCCGCCGGCCTGCTAAGAGGCCTGAGGATTTGTTTGTATACGTATTGTGAACGCAACGCTGCGCAAATGTGGTCTGCCTCTGCCTCACAGAGGGTGACTGGCTGTCTCCATGATGTGGTCTGCCTCTGCCTCACAGAGGGTGACTGGCTGTCTCCATGATGTGGCCTGCCTCTGCCTCACAGAGGGTGACTGGCTGTCTCCATGATGTGGTCTGCCTCTGCCTCACAGAGGGTGACTGGCTGTCTCCATGATGTGGCCTGCCTCTGCCTCACAGAGGGTGACTGGCTGTCTCCATGATGTGGCCTGCCGACATGGCCACTTTCATACAGATCATACACTAATAAAACGTATAAAAATAGCACTGCACCCCCTCTGATCTCAGATGCACCCTGAGTCATTTTGTTTAAGTACAGTGAGCCTTTCTAAACTATACAGTAAAGAGACAAACCCACCAGCATTATAGGATATACTATGACTTTGAGCCAAAGTCTTGTTTTTGGGCTGTCTAAATAAATGGACTTGAAACAGTTGCTGATTTAGAGTACTGGCACCTTTTGTATTCCAATTCAAGCACTGAGTAAAAGTAGAAGAGTATTCTCATCAAAATATACTTAAAGTACCAAAAGTAGTCCTTGTGCAGATTGGTCCATTTCAGAATACTATATATGATATGTTTTATAATGATTGATCATGAAAGTGTTCTCAAAGCTGGTAAAGGTGCAGCTAGTTTGAATGACTTTGTATACTGCAGGGTAGCTTGTGGATTTACTCCAGGTGGAACTAAAGTCTGATTCAACACTTGATTAGATTTCATATCATTCATCTGTAAAGTAACTAAAGGTATTACATACATGTAGTGGAGTAAAAGTACAATATTTACCTCTGAACTGTAGTGGAGTAGAAGTACAACGTAGCAAAAATGAAAATACTCAAGTAAAGTACATTATCTAAAATGTTTACTTTTTTTTTAGTACAGTACTTGAATCGACCAGGGGTGAAATGAACGGATAATATACAGATTCAAATATCCAACATTTAATAATATTAAAGGTTTCTTTGATGAATGGTATATTGTAAATAATTATGCGCACCTTATCTGAAGTGTCTAATTAAAGAATAGTGCAGTGCGCACAATTGTAATTAGGACAACTTGTGACAACCACGTAACGTAAGTTTAGGAATGGAGCAGTTAAACGTATTTAGGTTAGCCACGCAGACTCTTTGTGGTAAAAACGTGACCTCAATATGGGCAACATTACTGAATACAAACAGAAAAGTTCACAAACCGTATTTTATAGGGACATGTTTGCGTAGAGCTCCTCATTCCTTCACCGATGTAAATAAACCACTTGTATCGCGCGCGCAGCTGTGGTGGGCTGCATTCTTCTTCTTTTGTATTAAAGGCAGACTGCAAACTAACTATGGCACCACCCAGTGGACAGACCGGAGTATGTATCATGTGAAAGCACTTTCTCATATTACAAATATTCACATTATTTTAATTAAATGTTATTGTATTTAATTCTATCTCATTTCATTTCATTCAAGTTCCATAAAGCATTCATCTGCTTGAATCGTGAAATGTATGTCTTTATTTTTCACTGTACAATATTTAATTGTACATGATGTCCTTGTCTATCTTATTCTACTTATCCGATACAGACTCCTGAATGTACTTGGTCACTTACAACATTCTCTGCAACATTAAGCGTATTGTATTTTTTATTCCGACATGTTTATACACTCAAAAACATATTTTTGACCTCTGAAACGATTGTGTGTGTAACAAGGAATAAAAAGAGGAATGTCTGAAAACAAAAAGATTCTAACTTGATGGGCAATCGTGTAGTTTACTTCATCTGCATACATTGCACATTGGTCTCGCAACATAACCTGCACTATTTGATTCTATACTGTTTCATTTTGCACTATCTTAAGTTTTATTGTGTTGTATTGTTGGAGGAGCTTGGGACTAAAATAGAAAAAAATAGAAAAATAATTGATACTGTAGATACCTGTTTCATTCAAATATTATAATGAAGTGTCAACATGCTTTGACACTGTCTTATGCATGATGAATAACGTAGCATTGAATCCTGCATGTCATAACGTCAGCCTTGAAAATGTATCTTTTTATTTTCTAATAAACTTCCTGTACTTTTTATCTATAAAAACACCATTTAACACTTATCAACAATTATATCAAAACAATATCAAAAATACAAAAATAAAATCTGGATATTATTTAAGCATGACATGATTTTGAATCACTTTAATAACACATTTGTGTTTTTAGATTATTTTATTGATAATCATAAAAACATATGATCCGAGTATTGGTGGCAATACCAGTCACTAAGATTAAATAATGACTGTAACCATTAGATGAAAAAGGTGGACCAGAGATACCTGCTGCCCAATTTGTAGCCGGTAATGATAATAAACGCACCTGTCATGCAAGATGCTGCCCAAAGTGTTGAAGATGCCCATTAATGTGTGAAGTTGAGTTCAATAATTTGAGAATCTATCTGTATTTTCGGTATTTTCTCTTGTTTTGAAAATACTGTTGAAATTACCAGTGCAGGCAATTTTCACATCAGTCATTCTCCAGTAGGGGGCTCTACGGAACCGTGGTTTCCCATGGATTGGTTTAGCTCTATCTGACATCCACTACTTTTCCTTGCAAAGAGGCAGACAGACAGTAGTAGTTGCATCACAGCCTGATGTGGAACTTCCTGGTCAGGAAGAGCTTTTCCCGAGAACAACAAAACGCTATTTGTCAGACTTCTCTTCGCTAACCCAATACACAATCTAGCCATTGGGTTTCAACGTTATTTCGACTGTGTTATCTCGCAGTGGTCAACAGAGAGGTTAATAACACTCAGAGTTAGCTCCTAAGCTAACGTTAGCTCTGTTTTGCTCTCGCTATGTCCGCCTCGGCTGGATGCTCCCCAGTGGGTCAGAGCTCGGGCCTCGGCTCCGGGATGACCATGTTTCGCTGGCTAGAAGTGCTGGAGAAAGAGTTTGACAAGGCCTTTGTGGACGTGGATCTGCTGCTCGGAGAAATAGACCCAGATCAAGTCGATATTACGTACGAGGGTCGGCAGAAGATGACCAGCCTGAGCTCCTGCTTTGCTCAGCTCTGTCACAAAACCCAGACGGTGTTTCAACTGAACCACAAACTAGAGGTTAGTAACTCTTGTGTACAATTCAACCTAAAAATGAATTTTAACGTTAATATATTAATCATAAAATCCGTGACCGAAAACTGATTGGTGTTTACGTCATACCTGTCACTCTTGTGGTGACGTTCTGCCATCATGTCATGTGAAAAGCCTCAGTCAGTGCTATACACTTTGACTAACTCAAATACAAATATAATTGTTATAACTGGTGTTTTACTGCCACTGTCCACAGGCACATTTAGAGCTCTAACGCAGTGGTTCCCAAAGTACCCCCCCCCCCAGTGTGGGTGTGTGTGTGTGTGTGTGTGTGTGTGTGTGTGTGTGTGTGTGTGTGTGTGTGTGTGTTGTGTGTGTGTGTGTGTGTGTGTGTGTGGTGTGTGTGTGTGTGTGTGTAGTGTTGTGTGTTGTGTGTGTGTGTGTGTGTGTGTGTGTGTGTGTGTGTGTGGTGTGTGTTGTGTGTGTGTGTGTGTTGTGTGTGTGTTGTGTGTTGTGTGTGTGTGTGTTGTGTGTGTGTGTGTGTGTGTGTGTGTGTGTGTGTTGTGTGTGTGTGTGTTATGTGTTGTGTGTGTGTGTGTGTGTGTGTTGTGTGTGCGCCTGCGCGCGTGGAGCGCGCGCCCCGGTACCGGAGATCGTTGTTGTTCGCTTCTGTGCTAGCGAGCTACGCTAACGGATATAAGGAGTTTTTTCAACAACAAAGTGGAGGAGAGTCCTCTCCTGTCAGACTGAGAGACCCAGTGAGCTAAAGGACTCTCAGTGTTATCTCAGAGGGTCTCAAACGTTTTGGTCACCATTAATGTAAACAATTATTTCCGAGGCACACATTTATATGATCATTATAGGTATAAAAAAAATAAGAGAATAAATTAAAAACAGCTATGAAATACTATATGGCAGTAAAACAAGAATAAAGTTTAAAAGGGTGATTTGTAAAATATCCATAAAGAAAAAGTAAATCTGTTTACAGTTCTGTTTCAAATGGATATTGAGAGATGTATCCATAGATCTCTTCATTTTGCTCTCAAAGTGCACCAGATTGATGCTTTTAACTTCAATATTTAAAAATAAATCTTCCCGGGGGGGCTTGCCCCCGGACCCCTCTATGTGAGGTCCACACACCACCTATAAAAATAGCACTTTACCCCTGCTTACACCTATATGCCGTGAGCTGATTATCGAGCCTTCATTGTAACAGTCGCGGGACCATTGTGTATTTGCGTGGGGAGTGTTGCAGTAGAAAGTTCCACTGTAGCGCCCGGTACATTAATGGGAAACCCTAAATGTTTGAGCACCCTCTATGAAACGTCAAGCTACCCCACAGCACCCCCAAAATAAATCTCTGGCCCCGCCACTGAGCCTGACTTGTGTTGGGGGGGCCCGACTTTTTTTTTCTCCAAAGGGGGGGCCTGACAGAAAAAGTTTGAGAACCACTGCTCTAACGGTTGGTCGAATAATCGAAAAGCCACATAATATTGACTTAATAAGCGTTTCAAAGTGCGGAAAATGTATGTAAATGCAGTTTCTATTCTCTGAAATGTTAAGGTGTTTGCTTTTCTTTATCAAATGTCATGTCAAATAAATATCTTTGTGTTTTGAACTGATATTTAAAGATATTTAAAAACATTTTCTTGCACTTTGAGAAACTGGGATGGACATTTTTCACTATTTTCCGACATTTTATAAAAGCATGTTAACATTTTGTATTGTTTCATCTAATAAACTATCAAGATAATGTTTGATAATGTATAAGCTCTACGACACCTAACAATTATTTAAAGGCATATGTCCCTGCTGTATGCCACTTAAACACACCATGCCACTTCACGTTTTCCATGAAAGATACGTTGTTAAACTGGAAATAGAACAACACATCTTAGGCAGCTTTTATTTATGTGATACACGTTTTGTTCTGATATCAGAATACTGAACTAGCCAGATGTAGATGTATGACCAACAGGCTACAGATCTATATAACAGAGATAAGCATCCGAGATTCACACACATATGTTTAACAACCTTTATGACTGTTCTTGGGGTATTACAAGACTGTTCTCAGCATCCTGATGAAAACTCCACTGTTTTACAAATCCTAACGATGACGCACACCATCTCCTAGCTCAATTTGTTCACCAGTGGAATGATGGACACGTTGGTAGGAAGAGCTTTCTATGGAACCATAAAGAGTGCGTAACACCCTGCTGTGTGTTCAAGGATGTGAGTTCCTGAGGTGATGTTAAAACAAGCAATGAAATGTATTGCACTGCAGCACGTTTCTGAGAGATGATTCAACAACAATGTATTTAGTACTAGAGAATAAAGAACTACGTGTTATTAAACTAGAAGATAATGTGTATAGTCATTAAAGGTCACCTATTACGCAAAATCCTCTTCTTCATGTCTCTTCTACATCAACATGTCTCCCCTCTTCTTCATGTCTCTTCTACATCAACATGTGTCCCCTCTTCTTCATGTCTCTTCTTCATCAACATGTGTCCCCTCTTCTTCATGTCTCTTCTACATCAACATGTGTCTCCTCTTCTTCATGTCTCTTCTTCATCAACATGTGTCCCCTCTTCTTCATGTCTCTTCTACATCAACATGTGTCCCCTCTTCTTCATGTCTCTTCTACATCAACATGTGTCCCCTCTTCTTCATGTCTCTTCTACATCAACATGTGTCCCCTCTTCTTCATGTCTCTTCTACATCAACATGTGTCCCCTCTTCTTCGTGTCTCTTCTACATCAACATGTGTCCCCTCTTCTCCATGTCTCTTCTTCATCAACATGTGTCCCCTCTTCTTCATGTCTCCTCTTCATCAACATGTGTCCCCTCTTCTTCATGTCTCTTCTACATCAACATGTGTCCCCTCTTCTTCATGTCTCTTCTTCATCAACATGTGTCCCCTCTTCTTCATGTCTCTTCTACATCAACATGTGTCCCCTCTTCTTCATGTCTCTTCTTCATCAACATGTGTCCCCTCTTCTTCATGTCTCTTCTACATCAACATGTACCTCCTCTTCTTCATGTCTCTTCTTCATCAACATGTGTCCTCTCTTCTCCACGTCTCTTCTACATCAACATGTGTCCCCTCTTCTTCATGTCTCTTCTTCATCAACATGTGTCCCCTCTTCTTCATGTCTCTTCTACATCAACATGTGTCCTCTCTTCTTCATGTCTCTTCTACATCAACATGTGTCCCCTCTTCTTCATGTCTCTTCTACATCAACATGTGTCCCCTCTTCTTCATGTCTCTTCTACATCAACATGTGTCCCCTCTTCTTCATGTCTCTTCTACATCAACATGTGTCCCCTCTTCTTCACGTCTCTTCTACATCAACATGTGTCCCCTCTTCTTCATGTCTCTTCTTCATCAACATGTGTCCCCACTTCTTCATGTCTCTTCTACATCAACATGTGTCCCCTCTTCTTCATGTCTCTTCTACATCAACATGTGTCCCCTCTTCTTCATGTCTCTTCTACATCAACATGTGTCCCCTCTTCTTCATGTCTCTTCTACATCAACATGTGTCCCCTCTTCTTCATGTCTCTTCTACATCAACATGTGTCCCCTCTTCTTCATGTCTCTTCTACATCAACATGTGTCCCCTCTTCTTCATGTCTCTTCTACATCAACATGTGTCCCCTCTTCTTCATCAACATGTGTCCCCTCTTCTTCATGTCTCCTCTACATCAACATGTGTCCCCTCTTCTCCATGTCTCTTCTACATCAACATGTGTCCCCTCTTCTTCATGTCTCTTCTACATCAACATGTGTCCCCTCTTCTTCATGTATCTTCTACATCAACATGTGTCCCCTCTTCTCATGTCTCTTCTACATCAACATGTGTTCCCCTCTTCTTCATGTCTCTTTTACATCAACATGTGTCCCCTCTTCTTCATGTCTCTTCTACATCAACATGTGTCCCCTCTTCTTCATGTCTCTTTTACATCAACATGTGTCCCCTCTTCTCCATGTCTCTTCTACATCAACATGTGTCCCCTCTTCTTCATGTCTCTTCTACATCAACATGTGTCCCCTCTTCTTCATGTATCTTCTACATCAACATGTGCCCCTCTTCTCCATGTCTCTTCTACATCAACATGTGTCCCCTCTTCTTCATGTCTCTTTTACATCAACATGTGTCCCCTCTTCTTCATGTCTCTTTTACATCAACATGTGTCCCCTCTTCTCCATGTCTCTTCTACATCAACATGTGTCCCCTCTTCTTCATGTCTCTTCTACATCAACATGTGTCCCCTCTTCTTCATGTCTCTTCTACATCAACATGTGTCCCCTCTTCTCCATGTCTCTTCTACATCAACATGTGTCCCCTCTTCTTCATGTCTCTTCTACATCAACATGTGTCCCCTCTGTGGAAAGAGACTCTGAAAGTTTCAGGAACAAAGATTCTCTCTCTTTTTGATCCATTTCTATAAAAACCTGTCTGAAAATGAGCTGATCAGATTGTGGCCACTTTATGATGTCATAACGATGTTTTGGCTTGTGTAACCATTAGCCAATCAGCAACCAAGGTAACCCCCCCCCCCCCCCCCCTTATCACCTGAATCTCCTCCTAGAGCACCATTGTGTTCTTTTTACCCAAATCTCTCTCATGCCCCTTTCACACAACGCGTTTTCAGCTCCGGCTCGGAGCTGGAGCTGAAAAGTACCGGTTTTTCCTGTTCACACCGCAGTGGCGCCGCCTCCAAAAAAATTGTCGGTCTAGAGACAAGAGCTTCAGAGCTAAGAGGCGGCGTCGCTTACGTCTCTCTTACGTCGAGGCGGGTTGAAGTAGATGCCGAAGACCACAAAGAAGTCTTGCATTTCGCATGTGATGTTTGTAAAGTTCCAAGTAAAGTTGTCCCTTGTAAAGTCATCCGATGCCTTCCATTTAGTTTCGTAAGAGGACAACCAAAGCGAACAGCGCTTCAATACAATCGGCCATTGTTGTTGTTGTCGATGTGAGGGATTTCCGCGCGGTTTGGATTTTATGAAGCAGGCACGTAAACGGTGACGTCATGACGCAGCAGCGGCAGCTCTGAGCGGTGTGAACAGAGCGGCAGCAGAAAAGGGAAACCGGAGCTGAACCAGAAAAGCTCCCGCTCGGAGCTAGAAAGGGAAAAGCGCTGGTGTGAAAGCCGCATCAGAGGGGCGTGGGGAGGGGCTCCTTATTTTCATCTAAAGTAACAGACAGAGAATCAGCACTTTAGAAACAGGGCTGAAACAGAGGGGATTATGGGATGTTTATTTCTGCAAACTAAAAGTTTTAAATAAATGTAGTAGAGTAAAAGCACACGATTGACCTCTGAATTGTAGTGAAATTCAAGTTCAAAGTAGCAAAAATGAAATACTCAAGTAAAGTAAAAGTACCTCAAAATGTTACTTATGTACAGTACTTGAGTAAATGTACTTAGTTACTTTACAACACTGCACATAAAAGCTTTAGGAATTCACCAGCGGGGTATTTACTGATGTATTTTATGTTGTTGAACAACACGTGAAAATCTCTTAAGCTTGTTTTAACCTCTGACCAACAAACAAACAACACCTTCAAAAACGGTTGAGACCAGGGGACAGGAAGTGCTAAACTGCTCAGTCATTCCCAGGTTGTAGGACTCGTTCCTGCACCAGTGTTTAGTCAGACCGGACATATATCTGACTCTGATATCCTGACCCCCCCCCTCCAGGCTCAGTTGGTGGACCTGCGCTCTGAGCTGACGGATGCCAAGGCGGAGAGGAAGGTGGTGGAGAGGGAGGTCCACGACCAGCTGCTGCAGCTCCACGCTCTGCAGCTGCAGCTCCACGCCAAGCAGGGCCAGGCGGAGGACTCGGACTCCATCAAGGAGCGACTGGTGAGAGCTGCTGGCACTGTGCCCTCATCTGATAGAGACACTATTGATTCAGACACGCAGGGAGGGGGAGGCTAGTATTAAATCAAACAAAGGTTCACACTGGAAAAGAAATGTTGACTTGAATTAAATGTATTATTATGTTGCTGCCCTATTGTGTGTGTAACCACTACTGGAATCAATAAGTTAAAACAACATATAAACACAGTTGATTTATCCAGTTTGTTAGTTTTTGAGGTCACACTTTGTTTACTTCATGCAGGAAGTGTGAGCTTGCTTTATCTGTCGGGATTGTTTTACAGGGTTGTTTTAAAAGGCTCATCTAGAGAAGAAAGAACACCTGCACACTGACAATAACCTATTTAATATGAATGCAGGACAATATTAAAAGGCTTAATTTAAATGCACATTTGAACTATTTTGATTTAGTTTCTAACTGTATGTCCCATGTTGTAAGTTAGGTATCTGTATATATATATATATATATATATATATATATACACAACACCAGATATACTCAAAGACATCTGGATTTATAGATTTGTATGAACCATTAGTGTAATTAGTGTTATTATTTTTGTATCATTATTTTTCATTAGCACAGTGTGTGCTAATGAAAAATAATGATACAAAAATAATAATAAAAAAGGTTCATTTATCGTGGGGAATATATATATTTTTTTACAGTTACTTTATTTTAAAATGAAATAAATAAAAGAGAAAAAGAAGAAAATAAATATTTGTTAAAATCCGGACATTGTACTACAACATATAACATCATTATTACAATTATTATATACAGTCGTGTATGTTGTGAAATACATACATTATATATATATATATATAATAAATGACTACATTTGACATTATATTTATCACATCTTGTCTGTATTAAAGTTCACATTGAATACAAACAACAAGACCTGTATTAGATGAAAAATACCATGATTTATGTTTCACGAAACAACGTAATCCATATTTATGTAAATATTGAGCGCACAGATGCTCATGTTATTCTCTTGTTAACATGATCACTACAGAACCTCTGTCTCGTAGTGGGCTGTATCCGAATATTCGTTCGTTGGAGTACTATTCGGGTTTCAATTTCGGGTTTTTTCCGTTTTTTAAATTGAATTTATTGAAAACTGCAATATCAACGTAAGAGCTTGTGCCTCTTCGGGGGTGCTAACACTTAACCATAAACGTTATCGTTGACTTTCTCCGTCTTTATTTGTAGATATGACTTTTTCTCCATTAATCTCCGTCACGTTGTTTCCATAGCAATAACAACTTCCTGTCAACTGCGCTAACTCTCCTTCAAAATAAAAGCATGACCATACAAAATAGGAAGCCAAGCCAAATTACACTTAAGACATACAACTGCAACGAAAGTAACAAACACAATGCGATATCCTTTTCAATTTCAAAGAACACAAATTGGTTACATTAACAAATAACTATAAAACAACAATACTGTAGAATAACAAAATGAATGCCGTGAATAAACCGCAATACACGTGTTGAAGTGGTTCGCTGCTGATTACTACGCACCCCCCGCGCGGGTCGAATATTCGCTGCTGAGTACTACCGAATATCCGGAACCCGAAATGTTTTATTCGGGACAACCCTAGTGGATCTCTTCCCCTCCACAGTGCTCTTTATTGAAACAATGACGTTACACATGTTGGTCAGGGGAAAATAGACCTGAAGCCTATAACTAAATGTTAGTTGCAGTATCATAAATTACCAGAAGGGGAGCCAGTGCGAGCTGCTGCTGCTGTGGTGCTTTAAACTCACTTGCTGTTGCTTCCACTGCAATTGCCTATGCTTCAATTACTGGGACTGCTTCAATTCCTTTTTTCCAACCTATGCATATTCTTTGAAATGATCTGCCACTTGTTTGAATGATTCACTTGCCATCTTTGCTGCTTGAAATGTACATTTTTCTAATCTTTGACTTCTTCCTGTTCTTCCTCTGCCTCTGAAAGCCTGCAGTTACTTTGGACAAGATGGTAAGTCTGTCTATGGGTTTCATTGTAGAAAGTAGAGTGATTAGAAATAAGTTATTTGGATTGCATATAGATGTTGTGGCTACACTGTATGCAACTAGTGACTCAATGATTCTTAAAGGCAGGAGTAAAAAGGATTTCATGAATTCTAGCTGACTGTACACAGCCAGGCATTCAGTTCTCAATGAAACAATAAAGGCAGGATTCATTCTACTGAATTCAGCCATGCAGTGCTATTGAATCTTCGAGAGTCACCATTAACCTGACTGCCTTGGTGCTGGAATAGAGTCGGCAACAAGACTTTATTCCCCCCCACACTTTGACTTGTTATGGTCTAACAGCGAGCCTGGTATTAAGGTCATGAAACAATGGCGATAATATCTCAACATATGGCCTCTAACATGGCCATTAACCATTCAAATCAACCAGCAGTAATTCACATACAATCAAAGAGATCTGAAAGTCAATCAAATGTCATTACAAATTGGGTTAATGACTCTGTTTTGAATTATTTTCTAAAATTATTATTTATTCAAATAAGACCAGTTGTTTGGTTGATGGCTAGTGTAGCTGCAACACAACGGTCTCTATCTTTTTCATAAATATAAGTTCCCTTAAAGTTAGCAAACCCCTTTTCCTTCATTCTAAAAGTAAGAAAATGCTCCTCACAAGAGAACAGCACATTTGGCAAGGCCTTTCACTTTCACTGCTTTATTTGTAGCTCTGCGGTGTAATAAAAGCTGCTACCATCATTGTCCTACACCAGGGCTTCTCAAACTCCGGACCGAACTGCAAATCAATCCGGACCAAACCCTGTGTTCCATTATAAAAAATAAAATAAAAATTATTAAAAAAAAAAAAAAGATTCTGATGTAAATTAAAGTGGACCTATTATGCTATATTGGAAAAAATATATTGTAGGGCCATACCTATACAAATATAGGTCTGTGAAGTTTTTTGCTTAAAATACCAAACAGTTCACCCATTGTAGCCATGCCTCATACTGCTCATACCCCTCTTGTGCAGCCCTGTTAGAGAAACGCGGATTTTGGGTCCTTAGCTTGAAAAAAAAAAGAGGAGGCGGAGCTAATGCCTGATCAGTATTCTACCGGAGATAAAGTTAAATTCTGTTGTAATAAAACGCCATCCTGTTCTAAACCACATCAAGGATTATTTCTGAAATAGATCTCAAATGCTTTTTCTCTTGCAGGTTTATCACAAGGGGAGTTCCTTTTTTTATTTCCTGCTTTTTAAACACATGTGCTCTCCAGTACAGGTTAGCTCTGAGTGTTAGCGAGGCTTGCTAATGTAAACAAAGACGAGATTACGTCCAAAACACGTTCAAAACGCGTCAGGCATTGTTTCTGATAGCAATTCTCTGTGGGTCCGCTGCCGATTTGACGTCAGATTGGCAGCAAATCTGTATCCGCTCGTTTTACCCCTGTTTTTAAAAGATTTGGGTAGCCTAGGAGGAAAAGAGAGCGGGTTTTATTTTCTGACGCTGCGTGAGTTCCCCGACGCACCGCGGACACATATTTATGTATAAAAGACATCACAAAGTGCATTTTGCATGATAGGTCCCCTTTAATGTATATTGTCTTGTGTCTGACGCGTTCTGAGAATGAACATGCATATATTTACTTGTGTGCGCGAGTGTCACGCGCATTTAAGTTAACCACAAGTTTACCTTGACTTTCTAATGCTTCTAATGCCATTTTTGCAGAGGTTCAAGGCATTGGCTACAGACAAACAGTGCCATTTCTCCCACTAGTTCAAGCCATGATACTGTATGTATGTATGTATGTATGTATGTATGTATGTATGTATGTATGTATGTATGTATGTATGTATGTATGTATGTATGTATGTATGTATGTATGTATGTATTGAATGTATGTATTGAATGTCTGTGTGTATACAGGGGCGCCGTTTACCGACAGGCAAGTGCTTGGACCAGAAGGGGGCCCCCAAATAAAGTAGATTAATCCAATCCAATCCAATCCAACTTTATTTATATAGCACTTTAAAACCTCCTGACCAAAGTACATGCATAGCGCGCCGAAACTGCTTCTTAATTTCAGTTTCGTTGCTCCGCTCCGGGGGTGTGTGGGGGTGTGTGGGGGGGGGGGGGCCTTTACTGGCATTGATCCGGACCATTGACCTTGTATAAAATTCACAAGTGGACCTTTAACAAAAAAGTTTGAGTACCCCTGTCCTACACCCTGGTATCAGGACGCTTCTATCGGCTTCACCATGCACTATGTGGATTCCAAATATTCTTGCTTACTGCCCTTTGTAATTCTCTCACATTGACTATTTAACTGTCTGTAAACCATACTACATCCATATGATTATCTAGCGTCTAGATCAGGGGTGTCAAAGTCAATTTCAACTCGGGCCACATTAGCATCATGGTTGCACTCAAAGGGCCAGTTTTATATATAAGTCTATATAAGAATAAATATATAAAATAATGTATTATATTACATTATTGCCTCTGCATTGGATTATTATCGGATAGGGTAATAACTTCATAATTAACTACGTCTGAAAGCAAAAGTCTAGGGCAAATAATTGCAAGTCTCCTCAGTGAGAATGTCACAAAATGATTTAAAAAGAAAAGCCAAATTCTGGAAAAACTAAGTGACATTTTGAAAAAAAAGTCTAATTTGAGATGCATTGTGGGACATGTAGTTTATGGGCAATGTGCTTCTGTAAAGCGGCATGTAACCGTATAATAAACATATTATATTCTTTGCAAGCTGTTGTGGGGCCACATGAAATGAAGTTGCGGGCCGTATTTGGCCCCCGGGCCTTGAGTTTGACACCCCTGATCTAGAGGAAATGGTTTCAGTTTTCTGTGCTGTGGTGTTGAGTTTCCTGTTTCCTTTTTTTCCTGATCTGCTAATGGGAACTTTCTGCGAATGAAAGAAATATCAATGACATAAGACTGATGGAAATCATCTCTAGAGAGAACCATTCAATATCCTGTTCAGCGTTGTATTGGGCTGGACTCTGATTAGACATGTGTCATCCTCTGACTACTCATGTGTTCATAAAGCAGGCACACATTTTTCAAAACCACTTTGCACCAGCTGCTGGTGAACATAGTAGAGCATTTAGCATTAAATATTTAGATTTATTTACGACTTTCTTTCAGATATGCTTTTTGCTTTTACATTCCATTTTGGATCAAATCTAATCTTATTCAAACACATTTTTAATACATTACCTGTTATCTTTAATTGAAAGTGTAAACAGTAAACACAGATTAGTGGAATCTGAACAAGGGCTTAGTACAAAAAAGAAAAAGAGATCCCACTTGGACATTTTGCCAAAATCTAACTGTCATAGCTTAATACTGAATTTAAAATGTCCTTATTACAGTGATTTGACTGGATCCAACTACATTTCTCATGGATGAATGTTCTAATCAAAGAAAACATTCAGCCTAATCTGATTCTGAGTGGGGTCTTGAACTCCCCACAAAGGTATTGATTAGATTGAACGCTACATTTTTTCCCATGTAATGTATATAGGTAAACTGGTAGGACAAATGCCTCTGCTAGGTGGCGCTGTGAGATGAACAGCATGATCTAGCTCCTGCTGCTCGTGGTGTTCACTGAGGATGTTCTTGTTTCAGGAACAGGAGCTGGTGGTCAACAGGAAGGATAAAATAGCAGAGGCGCGGCTGGAGGTAGAGATGAGGCTGTTCAAGAAAGAGAACGAGGCTCTGCGCAGACACATGGCCGTGCTGCAGGCCGAGGTGTACGGAGCCAGGCTGGCAGCCAAGTACCTGGACAAGGAGCTGGCTGGAAGGTGAGGAGGAGAGGTCATACACATGGTTTGCTAATAAGATACCACGTCATTTTGGTACGACTTAAACCAGCTTAAACATCTGAAGCAGACTTCACTGTTTTTCCATTTGTAGCCATTGCAATATGCTTCCAGCTGAGCCTTAAATCTGCACAGACCTCCACTCGTTTTTTTGTAAATATTTTTATTTTATGTTTTTTTCCACAAAAGCAAGTGATAGAAAGCATGTACATTCGGTTCAGATTCAAGTAATGATATATACACACACACTGATCATTCTAAATCTTCATTTCCATCCCACCACTGTCCCTGACCCACCCACACATCACCCATTAACTCATTGAGTTACAGGTTACGAGTACATTAACAATAAATAAGGAGGTATAATTATCCAATTGTGTTGTTTGTTACTGATTTAGTGCAAAGAGAAAATACAGACAAAGACATTTAAAACAAATATTATTATAAAATAAAATCTGCAAGACCTCCACTCTTTTTATGGTGCAAACAAATCATCATGAACAACCAATTTACTCGACATTACGTTGACTGTAATTCAAGTTGATGTTGCATATTTCCCTTTAATGATCTATGGATAAATACAGGGCCAACCTTACCATTTTAAAAGTAGTGTTTGACGGAGCCCCCTTCATACCTCCATCTCTGACTGCAGTACAAAGTGCACCTGCTCTGAGAAACTCACTAGTGATGTGTCGGTCGCGAACGAGCCGGCTCAAAGAGCTGGCTCTTTTAAGTGAACGACGGGAGCCGGCTCTCGCCCGCGAACGAGCCGTTTTTTGTTTTGTTTTTGCGGAGGGATCTAGATCGGCATCAAGGCACATTATGCAATGTGCACATTATCCCGCTTATTACATGGCCACATTCTCAACAAAGTAACGACATGACTCCCAATATTAATTGAAATGCTTTTATGGATTTAGAAAATGATTTTATTGATTTAAAAAATAGTTTTATGTATTGATTTAAATTGACATGCATCCGCTAAGAAAAATAGTCCGTTGTTACTGTTTGAACTAACGTAGCAACGGCAGGAACTGCTTCGATAGTGTTTTTGAGGAGCTTTTTGATTACAGATTTGAAAACATCGTTGCTTGCTTTAAAAGTAGCACAATTCATTATGTCAAGCCTTGGAAAGTATCTAGATATCCCTGCCCTAATGCCAAAGTAACTGGCAACTGAATATGTGTCGCCGTTTGATGTCTATGTCTGAGATCTCTTTTTGTCCCCCTCTTCTCCCCGCTGCAGCCCTGCAGCTGATAATAATAATAATAATAATAATAATAATTTCAATTTATATAGCGCCTTTCACGAAACCCAAGGACGCTTTACAATGGGAAGTAACAAAACAAAAAGTAATAATAAAGATACATAGGCTGAAGAAAACAAAAACAGGATCTGATCTCAAAGCACGCTCCCCTCTCCTGCAGGGGGGCGTGGTCAGCTGCAGCTCACAGAATCAGCCCCCTGCAAAAACAGCAAATAGAGCGAAATGAGGCATGGCTAAAATGCAGGATCTTTTTGGTATTTTGAAAAAAAAAACTATATTTATATACTTTATATAGGTCGATACAGTAGCCCATTTTTTAAAATAGTTTTTATAGGTGTTGCTATCTGTTTTGTGTAGCGTGGTTCTACAAGCAAGTCAATGCATTCATTGGGTGGTATCAGAGAGTTGCACGGGTCTGTAAATGCAATGAAAACAATTGGCCACAGCAAATCATTTATATTAAACATGTCATTTTTACTTTTGAATACTTCAGTACAAAGGATGTATTGAATAATTTAAGTGATATATGTGTACACATATAAATCATTAGTCAAAACAGGGCTACATTTGATTTAATTAAAAGGTATAATATGTGGTAAACTGAAGAGCCGTTTGGGAGCCGAAAGAGCCGGCTCTTCTTGGTGAGCCGAGCCAAATGATCCGGCTCACCAAGAAGAGCCGGAATTCCCATCACTAAAACTCACTCACAGGGTGCGTCTCACTTCTCTTATTTTTCATTCCTCTGGCTCGGTATCACCGGAAGTTGATTTGTCTGCGCCATCTTGAGTAGCGTCCCAGTGGCCTTATTTGTGCCGGAGGATCGAGGAGTGATAACGGAGGAGCGATAATCGAGGAACCACCAGACCATCCTCCGATGAAATCCTCAGACACTCGCCCCGCCTCCTTACTGTGTATCGCTCACTGATTGGACGATGCAGCGCATGCACTGATCTGGCTGCTGTCAGACGATCAGCTGTGCGGCGTCATCACAAACGGACGTCGCTTCACGTGACGCTCCGGAGGAAACGACGTCCCATTGCTCTTAACACTCATTTCCCTGCTTCTGCACATTCACACACCTTTGGCCATCTGGAGACATTTGGGGTTTAGTATCTTGCGCAAAGATTCACCGACATGTTGACTGCAGAGGCTGGCAATCGAACCTTCCTATTGGATGAGGACCTTTATATCCTGACCCACAGCCGTGACATGTGACCCGGTTTTTGTGACTTTAGACCAAAGTGGCTAATCAGGTTCAACTGATCCAAGTACACATTCAATGAGTGAATGAATCGCGGTAATATTGTAATCAACACGATTCATTTTATAATTGATGGACAGCACTTAAAAATACTAGTATGTACTTTGAATTTCGGGAGAAGATGAAACAAATACACATGAGGTGTTGCAATAAAGAAATGCATGACAAACTCGTAAAAGTTGACTTTAATTAAATGTATTATGTCAACAGATTTCACATAACTGTATTACGTTAGTTGAAACAATAATATTAAGTTTAAATAAAAAAATATTAGGTTCAACTTCATATTATTGCTTTCAACTAACCTTATACAGTTATGTGACATTTGTTGACACAATACATTTAATTAGGGTGAATGTTTTTGAAGCAATGACAAAAAGCCTCTGGAAGATCGGAGGTAAGCTGTCCTTTAATACACATCATGTTGTTCAGCCTGTACTTGCTAAATGTGAGTTTACTTACGTTATGTTCAGGAAGTATGGCTTCCTCTAAGCTGGTAGTTTAGGTTTTTTATTAAATTATAACATTATTAATGAATTATCGGCATGAATTCCAACAATTATCTTTTATTAACTTCAAGAAACTGGAGCATGACTCAAAACACCACACCTACGAGTAAACATAACCCTGAGTGAAAGGACTGACAGCCTCCTCTCTTGCTCTGTGTTCCAGGGTGCAGCAGATCCAGTTGCTGGGCCGGGACATGAAGGGGCCGGCCCACGACAAGCTGTGGAACCAGCTGGAGGCGGAGATCCACCTGCACCGCCACAAGACCGTCATCCGAGCCTGCAGGGGGCGCAACGACCCCAAGAAACCCCTGCACTCTCCTGTGGGGCATGTGAGTGGAAAGTACAGAACGCTCAGGACCGTGGATACCTTAATCTGTGCTTCCAGAGCTTAATGTGTTGATATGATTACAGAATCCAAACATGTTGAAGAAGACTCAGGGGGTGGGCCCCATCAGGAAGGTGGTGCTGGCCAAAGACGACCATGAGGGGCTCGGGATCTCCATCACAGTAAGAACTCACCGCTGTCATCCTTCCTCCTGAATACGGCTCTGACCGAGGCAATCTTTAAAGTGGTCAATTCATATAGCGGTGCTGTGATGACGTATTTTTGTAGGCCGACCGGGAAGTCAGCATCACTAGGGCTCTTCGACAAAAAGCAATGGGAATTGTCCTTTGGATTTTGGAATATTGAAAAATTAAGCTCAATGGCAAAAGGCACTTATTTTTTAATAGGATCATCTCAGCATATTAACACCACTTTAAGGGTTTTTGCTGCAATGAAAAAAAAAGAAAGAGCTTAAACCACATCACAGTCACATGGCTGCGCATCACCTACGCTAAGCTAAAGGCGGCTAATGTTTGGCGTGATGATGTTGTGACAAAACGCTATTTGTATCACACATTTAACATTCAGACACTATTTACTGACATATTGTATGTCAGAACAAAAGGTTCAAGTCGCTTCAGCTTGTGTTAACCACAGATATTATTTCAGGCATCTATCCAAAAATATGCTCAAAAAACCACTGACTTTCAGACAAGCCGAAGCTGTAAAATGCTAAGTCATCTCCGGGTTTCAGGACTCATTCCTACCACTCTATAATAGCCGCTTTCACACCAACTACTTTGCCGTACTTAGTGCCGGCACTTAGTGCCCCAGCACTAAGTGCCCCAGGGCACTAAGTACAGATCGCGTTCACACCAGAATAACTTTCCTGAGGGAAGATTACGCAAATGAGCCGCTGACGTCACTTCGTCTTCTTCTGCTTTGGGTTTACTGGCAGGCCGCAAACAACTTCACGGCGTATACTGCCACCCGAAGTCCCCGGAGTTGGGGACTGGCTTCAGTAGAAGCTGCTGGAACTCCCAGCAGCTTCTACTGAAGCCTTCCGAGTAAATCGCCAGAACACCGACACCTCCTCATCTCCTCCCATGTTTTTTTTTGTGTTGCCATAAGTTATTCTTTCTCCGTTGGTGCGCGTGGCTAATGCTAATAATGCTAATGCCAGCAAATACAATGGCGGCTTCACAAAACTTTTCAGAGTTTTACGGGGCGTGGTTAGCAATTCGCCCAGCCAATAGCAATTGGTACTTTTTTCTCCCCAGGATAGTACAACCTCTCTAGCAGGCACTAAAAATGGCGGTAAAAGTTCCCGGCACTAAGTACTCTTTTTGGTGTGATCGCAAAATAAGGGGTACTAACGGAACTAAACGGGAAAAGTACGAGGAAAAGTACTCCGGTGTGAATGCTCCTCATGTATGTTGCAAATGAATGCAAACACACTGAAAATACTGATACGTTGACTTTAATTAAATGTATTATGTCAAAAGATTTCACATAGCTGTATTAGGTTAGTCGAAACAATAATATTAAGTTTAGATAAAAAAACATTAGGTTCAACTTAATATTATTACTACTTTGTTCAGCCTGTAGTGCACTGTTCTTGCTAAATGTGAGTTTACTAACGTTATGTGCTTTAAAATCAGGAAGTATGACTTCAAAGCAGCTAGCTAAGGAACTTGACATTTTGAGAATATAACTCCTGCTGTATAAGGATGCTTTCAAACAGCATCTGACATGTCTTGTACTGTGCACATTACATGATGGCTTGATTATGGTTCCAATTGTCCAGCAGGTCCTGGATGACACACTTCTTAACCAGCAGGGTAAATAACATATGAATAAAGAGAAAAGGGAAATTAAATTAGGCATGAAAAGTGCAGAGATCGCCTAATACGAGTACTTTTTAGTTGAGTTGAACTCTGGTTCTGTCTTCTCCTCAGGGGGGGAAGGAGCACGGTGTTCCTATTCTCATCTCTGAGATCCATCCCACCCAGCCTGCAGACAGATGTGGGGGTCTGCATGTGGGGGACGCCATCCTCGCCGTCAACAGCATCAACCTGCGAGACGCCAAACACAAGGAGGCCGTCACCATCCTGTCCCAGCAGGTAACACAGCACACACACATCTGTAGACACACTAATACACACACACACACCCCCTCCTCTGTGCTCACTGCCTGTGTGTCAGCGGGGACAGATAGAGTTCGAGGTGGTGTACGTGGCCCCGGAGGTGGACAGTGACGATGAGAACGTGGAGTACGAAGACGACAGCGGACATCGTTACCGCCTCTACCTGGATGAGCTGGAGGAGAGCAGCACAGTGGCGCCTAGCAACAACTCCTCATCACTGCAGGGTAAGTTTCCAAATAATACAACATTTATTCTACATTATGGACACTTATTATATCAGTATCGTTTAAATCATCAGGTCATGTCTTTGCTTTGGGCAAATCGGTGTGAATTTCAATGCGAATTTCTCGTAACTTTTATTCTTGGTTGCACAATAGAAACAAGTTACAGTGAGTCTCCCTGAATGTAGTAACAGTTATTCTCTTTCCAAAAAGGGACACTCAACTAGTGTTCATTTCGTTGACTAAAACTATGACGAAATATGTTCGTCAACGACCTTTTTTTCTATGACTAAAACGAGACGATGACGAGACGGCACCGACGGCAGTAAACAATAACTGTAACGAAATCATCATGCAATATCGTTGACGAAAAGAGACGAGACGAAAATGTAGTTTACTAAATAAAAATTATGCCAAACTCTCTCTTTACTTTCGTTGACGAAAAATGAGGAGACGAAATATTATCAAAGATAACGTTACATTTCTGATAGTCAGTCTTTCTCCCAGCAGTTCCATTTCCGGGGCTGCGGCAGGGCAGCAGCTGTGTGTCTGCGGTGCGCGCGGCGGTACATTTGAATTACACCGGGCAGCGGCACAATATGAACTGTCAGGAAGACTCGGGTCTAACGCAGTGGTCGCACTCGCGTTAACCGAATACCCCCCCCGTCAGTGCGAGTGAGTGACGAGTTGTGTACAGACTCGACGGGTAATAATGGATTATGACGGAAATGTTACGATCCTGTCCGTCAAAATGACTGACAACGAAAAAGTCTAAAGCCACCACTGCTTGGGAGAAAGAAACAATGTGGTATTTGGGCCCATTTTCACTACAATGTTTTATCAGAAGGGAAGCAATGCGGCCATAACACAGCTGGTAAAAACACCACAAACCTGAGCAGATACTCTCTGCAAAGCTTCTTAATCATTCAACCTGTTTTTCATCAAATAAGGACAAGATATAATGTTATTGTGAAATACGTTTGACTAAAATGACAAATGATTGGTTTTGGCTAGACTAGTTTGACTGAAATGTTCTATATAATCTGATGACTAAAAAAGACTCAACAGTTTTCATTGACAAAAAGTAGACTCAAATAATTATTTTTCTTTGACTAAAATATGACTAAAATGCTCAGACTTTTAGTCGACTAAATCTTGACTAAAATAGTTACTGTTTTAGTCGACTAAAATTTGACTAAATAAAAACAGGATGAAGGTGACTAAATATGACTAAAACTAAAAAGGAAATTTAACACAGGACTAAGACTAAAACTAAATTTAAAAATAGCTGACAAAATGAACACTACACTCAACAGCATTTTATGCTAAAAAGTCTTACATTTGAGTTGGTGAAACCTGCAGGAACCCTGTACAATATACTCTCACTTTACAACATTTCAGAGGGAAGTATTTTAATATTTGCACTACAGCTACTATTTACTTATTATTTACTTTTAATTAATGATGCATAATGACAATCTGCACAGTAATCACACAGCGGCCCAATTCTAATCCAGCCCCTTCACCCTCTCCATTTTTGCATTTGTATGGAGGGTCCGGCACATTAAGTGCCAATACAAACAAACTAGTGGGTCCACATTGGTCCTGAGTTAAAGGGGCCCTATTAGGCTATTAGGAACCCTATCAGGTGTATATCAGTATTTAGTGTCTCTACTGGGACATGTCTCCATGCTTTAATGTTCTAAAAGCTCTTTATTTTGCTCATACTGCCTGTGCTGCAGCACCTCTTTTCACCCTCTGTCTGAAACCAGAGCCCAGTCTGCTCTGATTGGTTAGCTGGCTAGCTCTGTTGTGATTGGTTAACCGCTTAGAGATGTCCTGCCCCTTAGCCTATCACGTACAATGTGTTGGAGCGCTAGCCAATAGAAGCGGGAGTGGTACATAGTGATGTCATTATGTTACAGAAGTAAACAAAGGAGTCCAATGGAGGTGTTTCAGGCATGGGGGATTGTAGCCTTAGCAGACCATTTACATGCACACAAACCTCTATACCAGGCCTGCACATAACTGGTGCGCAGGTGGCATGCGCACCTCCGCCAAAAAAAGAGTACCGTGTCATTTGAAAAAAGGCGCATTTGCGTACCAACATTGAGAGAGGGAGAGAAAGAAGAGAGAAGGGAGAAGAGAGAAGAGAGAAATATATTTGCGAGTTGAACCTATGATATGAACTCAGGGTCAGCCCGTAGCACTGGCGTTATAGATGTTCGCCTAGGGCGCCAGATCTGTGGAGGCGCTGCGCTGGCAGCTCTGGGAGGGAAAAAAACATTTTTGACCGTTGGTGCTCATCCTAATGTTCGGCCTTGATGTAACGACATTCACAATTAAGTAAATGTAACACCCTTTTCACCCCGGTTACACGTTTCATTTGCCCTGTACGATGGGCGCTGTAAGTGATGAAAATGGGGGATGTTGGCTTATCTGGCGCCCGCAGCTCACAGCCAAAATGCGAGTGAGCGAGGGAGAGAGGGAGGGTGCACCGGTACCGGCGCTGTTGTTATTAGCATCTGGTGCTAGCTGCTCTAACGGATATAAGAAGAAGATGTTTCTACAATAATGTGGAGGGAGAGTCCTCTCCAGTCAGACTGAGAGGCTGATAACTACAGCTCAGTGAGGTAAAGGACTCTGAGTGTTTAGATAGTTCACTTTAGTCTAAGTTCAAAAGGTTTGGTCACAATTTATGTAAACACATATTTCCAAGGCACTTCTTTATAATTATTGGGATAAACAGGTTTTAAATCATTCCAATGTATACTATAGGACAGTAACCAAAAATATCCTTTAAAACTGGAGATAAAAAAAAATGCATAAATAATGTTTAAGGTAAAATAAGATATGAATGAACAACATAAATAAAATAAGTTACATTAATGTGTTATTGGCTATGGTAGGTTATTGGTTATGTTCACATACTTATTTGATTACATCCACTTGTCTAAGATGACAACAGAGACTTTCGACCCAAAACCAGCTGTTGACTTGTGGATGCAAGCAGCTAATCACAGACTCAACCAGAGAGAAAGTAGTAGGTCTACATCATCAGCTACCATGTCTGACAGAGAGGAAGACAGTGAGGAGAACAGTCAGGAGGGTAGTGATGACAGCTTGTAGGATTACTGGTCGTGCTAATGTTGTCTTGTGTTCACCTCTGCATGTGTGTTCTGTGTTCACCTCTGCACGTGTGTTCAGTGCCGTGTGTCTGGCAAATAAAGTCAAGACCCCCTCAAAAGTTATGGTTTATTTCATTTTAAAGATGAGCACCAAGCAACATCTCCAGGTGCTCCTTTGAGAACCAGGGCAAAAAAGTGATGTGCACCCCTGCTCTATACACACACTACAGGGAAGGGAAAACCCCAAAAAGCAGAATATGGCCCCTTTAACCTGCTGCCCTACCTGAACAGGTGTGACGCTGTTTGTCTGTTATGAACCATTCGGTTCACAAAATACATTTAAAATGTTCATACAGATTTGACCAACTTCAAGTTGATATTATAATGAAAAAGAATTCCTTAGGATCATATATATCCATGTCTCGTCTCAGATGCTGTAGATTTGTTCCCTTGATTTGACTCAATGTACATCTGAATCCCCCCCCCTGCAGCTCTGGAGAAGATGACCCTCAGTAACGGAGCAGAGAACGGAGACACCGGGCTCTCCAGCGTGACGACTTCAGAGGAATCCCCCTCGAAGCCCCCGGAGAGCGATGGCTCCTCCTAGAGGCTGGGGGGGGGCCGTCGGGATTCGGAGATAAAAAGAGGAGTGGGGGGATTACGTCTCTCAAAGAAATGAATCAAAGACATAGAATTCTGCTACACACCTAGGGACGAGGGGAAATGGCAGAGTTCTGTTTTCCCTATTTCCTCTTGGTGTTCAGGGGAGGTGGGATCAGGGGGGCATGTGGCAATGATTGGGGCAGACGTACACATTTTAAGAAGTTAAATGCGTAGAGGAGGGAGGGATACTGAATCATGTTTGACTTTTGTCTGAATATTTTATTAAGATCCGGATGTTGACAGGATGTACATGTTTCCGAGCTGGAGGCACAGTGAGAGAGGAAGTTACTGAAATTGAAAATCTGTTTTTGAAAAACACCTTTTAGAGTGTTTTCTTGTGTTTCTATAGTTACTATTCTGTTCTCGGCAAAAGTGTGAGAAGACTGTGTCGTCCTTCAGGCACAGAAACCAGGAACATATCTTGGAAAGGAAATAAATCAATGTTTTTTAAAAGTATGTTGACAACCTTCTAGCTAAAGCTATCCAGGCTCTTTCACATGAGATGTTTAATCAGATTGAAAACAACCCTGTGAAATAAATACCAAATGGAGAAGTGCTGTAGAATGTTGCCAATATGCTTTATTTACAATTTCAAGTCAGGAAGGTAGAGACAGTTGAATAATGTATCAGGGTCTAACTACCACATGAATGAACATCATAACATTAACCGTTTGTCCGTTTAAAAGGCTCTCCACTACTGCCTGTGTTTGTCTTATTTTACAGACACTCTGTAGCCGCTTTCACATAAAAGTACTTTGCCGTACTTAGTGCCAGCACTTAGCAGCACCCCCATGGAACTAAGTACAGATCGCGTTCACACCGGAATAAGTCCCTGAGGGAGGATTAGGCAAATGAAGCCGCTGACGTCACTTCTTCTTCTTCTGCTTTGGGTTTACTGGCAGGCCGCAAACAACTTCACGGCGTATACTGCCACCTGAAGTCCCCGGACTTCAGTAGAAGCTGCTGGGACTTTCCAATTCCAGGCACTATCAGAACTAAACGGGAAAAGTACGGGTAAAAGTACACCGGTGTGAACGCGCCTTTTAGGTTTCCTTTAAAGGGATAGTTTAGTTGTTTTAAAGTGGGGTTTTATAAGGGTCTTATCCATGGTTTGTTTATTGCCTACAGTAGATACCATCAGTTTAGAGGGCTACTTTAACAATCTATTGAGTATCACAGTAAGTAATGTAACCTGATTACTTTCCGTTGCTTTTGGATTAAGATAATATCAAATGCAATTCCAATAAATAAAAGAGAAAATAAATATCAATACGTAATATTATTGCTTTCAACTAACCTAATACAGGTGTGTTAATTTACATTACATGTTAATTACATTTAATTAGAGTCAACGTTTCCGTTTTTTCAGTGCAGTCTCATTATGTAGGCCTACCGTATATTTAAAATGATTTATTTGACTTTAGGGAGTTGCTGGTTTACCCTGCCTCGATCGGTTAGTTTGTGTGTTTCGTTAATTCACATTCAAAGTGACACAATAACAGAAACAGGTATACAGATATAATCGCATAACATGGGAAATAGCATTATGACAGCAACATCGAATATTCTAAATATAGTGTACACCTCACCAGGCTTGGGGGATTTCATGTAACAGGATAACGTATTAAAGGTGGGGTATGTAATTCACTTCAGATACACTTTATGTTATATTCCATGGAATGCTCTTAACATCCCGATAGCAATGAATACCTGAAGTGCTTTGACAATAAATCCATTAAAAAACGTCATCTGTGGAAGCCGTAGCAGGCCTATTGTAAAAAGCACGACCAATCATCTGAGCCGGCCCGGCTAAAGTAACTGGATGGCCTACCTGCCTGTCAGCCTTCCATCTGTGCACAAACTTATCTCGTGCCCTCATTGGTCATGTGCGCGTTCGTGTGTGTTGGAGGAGGGGCTCCGGAAGGAAGAGGTAGATTTTTCCGGTTGTGTATTTTCAAATCCTAGCGATCTCGAGCTGGTTTCTCCAAAATGACCTACCCCACCTTTAATGATAAAAAGGTAACTGTATTCCCTAACAGTTACATCAAAAGGTATATTTACTTACTGAATTTCATTTTTGGATTTCATTCAGGCTACTTTCAGTCCTAAAGTGTCTTCTTTTCTACGGTCACATTGTTCTGTCTTACATAAAACACTATAAAACATCTTATTATTTATTTGGATTGCATTTAGTATTGAGGTTATCCAAAAGATAAGATTAACAAACATTTTTTACATGTAACTAGTAATTGTAACAGAATAATTTTTTTAAGTAACCCTACACTGTTATTATTCTTTTATTCATTTAGGTGGTATACATATATGAATCTGCTGCCCCTGCCCCCGTGCATCAGTATCTTCCTTACAGTGTCTCCTGTCTGCTTCTCCTAACCACACTGTTCTGATTATGGATGAGTTCCTCATGCAGCACGACTGTCCCTTTAACCGCCACGTTGATTCCCAAATCTCAGTTCTTCATAGTTTGTTGTTCCGGGAGTCCTTGCCAGCCTCTAGCAAAACAATCAGAACTGTGCTACAGGACCATTTGAGGCTATAAGAGCACGTCCTTCTACTTCATCTGCACTCACAAAACTGTAACTGACTTTTATTAAATACTTATGTAAACACATTTCCAATAACTATTAGGTTAGTTGAAAGCAATGATATTAAGTTGAAGCTATTATTATTGCTTTCAACTAACCTTATACAGTTATGTGAAATCTGTTGATATAATACATTTAATTAAAGGCAGTTTCAGTTTTGTAATAGATATTTTTAGTTAAAGCAGCAAAGACCCTCAGCAAGACATTATTCACCTGCGTCCTGGAATCATGTTTTATTTATTATCTGGTGACTATAGATGTTCCAATGAGCTGTTATTCTGCTATAGTTTTTAACATTGTTCCATCTCTAACATATTGTGGCATATCATTGTTGAATATACAGGGGTGGGCACAATAACACATGTATGCAGTGTATGCGAGTCGGACCCCCCCCCCCCTCTCTCACAGGCCTAACAGTTCTCCGTTTCATGCAACACGTTATTGTGCAGCTCTGTTTCGTTATTTTTGTTATCCTTGTTATTGCTTTGTGACTTTAAAGTCACTTATTAAGTAATGTATTCATGTCACAAAATCTATTGAGCATTTAAATAAAGGTTGATTCCAATGTGGTTATTTTGTATGACATTTTGATATTACAACCTTTGTTTTAAGATTTTCTCTTAACTTAACATTTGTTTAAACTCTGGAGGTGGGGATTGTATGCAGAATGAAACTCATTATAAAATTCGTATTCACCACAATTATACGGATATATGCTGTTTATAGTACAGCCGTACATGGCTTGTTTCTGTCACATTCTGCAGGGATTACACTGACTATAGATCAATGCCTAATACATCACCACTTAATCACATTTCAACTATCATTCTGAAGCTTAACGTGGCTTAAAGAACTGTTTATATTTTTGCTTTATCTAGGTGAAAATGACACATTTTAAGATTCCTTTCAAAACATGACCATTATATTCCACCGTACTGTGTGTCTCCTGAGAGATCAGAATCAGGTTTCAGTCAGACAACTCACGTGGTTCTTTAACATGTTTATTAGAAGCAGCATATAGTTGAGTTTGGCGTCTAGGCTGGGGTGGTGGTGGGGCAGCAAGCCGCAGCGACGTAGAGGTAGCTGCAGCAATAGCAGCAGCAAGCAATGCATGGAGAGAGATCTGGCAGGTTAAATAGAGCGGCCTATTGAGGAGACTCTGGTTGGTTGGTTGTAGAGTGGCAAGAGGGCGTTATGTATGAATGCAGCATAAGTGCTCGAGTTGACTTCCTGAACTAGCTCGCAGGCTTCGCCCCATTATTGCCAAGTTTACACATGAGGAATTTGCTTGGTGTGTTTGGTGCCTACATTAACACAGTTAAGGAAGATACATTGTAAGAAAAGGACCATCAAATAAAACAATAAATATTTTAAGAAAACTATTATAATATTAAAATATAGCAAGATCTACATGGAATATAAATTAGATATAGATATAAACGTACAAATACAATATAATAAAATAAGACATATGCACTATTAAACTTATATTACACACTCACTCCTCCAAACATGGCTTTCTTTCCTCCTAAACCACAACAGAGACATCACCAGGTACACAGTTACTTTGATTTGAATCTTCACCTTTCTTCTCATGTCAGGTTAAAAATGTGAACTCTACAATAGATACAACTTGAAGCAGTTAGATATTTTGGCTTTCACTTCGTTATAAGAAGACTTCTTCTTCACTGGGAATCCAACACAGCCCCTTCCAGCGCTCAGTGGCTCAGGGATGTGAAGTCTTCCCTGAAACTGGAAAATATGAAATATTCTCTGAGAGGCGATCCCTGTAAGTTTACACTAAGTGGCAACCCTTCTTAACCTTCTTCAAACCTCTTCCATGTTTGTGTCAGTTTGTTAATCACTCTCTTACAATTTGCAATAAGACTATTAAACACCCGAGCTCTGTTAAGTGCCCCAATAAACATTCATCTGTTTGTCATCTACTTATTTATATTAATAGTTACCACCACAATAAACCGTATTTCATTTATCTGTTATGCTACGCACAAAATTCTTTATTATTCCGCCGGGTTATTTTGCGCCACTTCTCCTCCCGCATTGAACATCGCAGAAACTCCGTTCAAACATCAAAACGTTCAGCTCGGTCGGGAATCGATGGCTTTTACTTTTCTTATTCATAACTTTCATAATTCCAGAGATACATCCCATAATACATCCCATTTTTAACATGGAAGTCAATGGAGAAACTCTTCAGACTTCAACAATCTTCATGCAACTTCAACTGCTAACTGCTCCTTCATACCTTCACTCAGAAACCTCATTCCATCTTTAAAATGTTACACATCTTTCTGACATTATTCGTGTAACACAACTTTTAAATCTGCTTTGTACTTTTAGAGATATTAAACATTGTTCAGACCTTGGTAAAGAGTCCTTATTCAGATTTTAGAGTGCGTGATGTCACAGCTAGAGTGGAGGACAGATTTAATTTTGCCTTCATATTTTCTTTTAAACCTGCCATAATTCCCAAACCCTACATTCCTGAGACATCATTTTTCATGAGAAACGTAGGAAAACATCTCATAGCTTGACAAATAAAAAACAATTAAGCAAAAAATAATTAAACAAAATGCCTCTTGAGGGCATGAAGTGACAAAAACGTTCAACATGTCTCCATTAAAACCCATCGTAAATTCAGCCTCACCTTTCCCCACCACAGCAGCCGCACACCTTTAGTTAAACTGCCAAAAAGGCCACATTATTAACCCGAAAGTACACAAAAAGAACACTTCAGATGCTCAAGTTCCTTGACATGCTTCACGATTTGAAATTTCACCGATATCTGTTACGGTTCTTCAATAAAACGTTCACATGTAACAGGTTTATCTCTCATTCAGAACAATGAAAATGCTCTCCTCTCACTGATCACCATGGAAACCTTTGATCTCTGGACACCTCGTTAGCTCAAATATAAACACCTGTGTCATGGAACACGATGATGTCATAACTCCAATTGACATAATTAGAGCAGCAGACTAATGACGTGGTCACTGGAGTTTAACAGACTGTCTCAGCCTGTTATTTTCCGTCTGATGGAGACTTCATACTGACTTCAACATTTTCCACATATTTTAGACATTATTGGTGACGTATGCTTTTAGTTCTAAAGTTTTCAGTTAAAAATATTCTGCTGCTTTTTCATGCATTTTATTTTATGTTCTTATTTCACATTCAAATCCCCTCTATTCATGAACCCTTTAAAGTACTCATGCTCTCCTCTCACTGATTACTGCACATCACCATGGAAACCTTTGATCTCTGGACACCTCGTTAGCTGAAATATAAACACCTGTGTCATGATACACAATGATGTCATAACTCCAACTGACATGCTCAGAGCAGCAGACTTCAGATAATGGTTAACGGTCCTGCCCTCAACAGCTCTACGTAAGTTATGGGGTGTCATCATATGCCGTTTCCATGGAAATGCCGTAGGCCCCAGGCTCTGACTTTGTGTGAGTGTTGCAGATCCTGCAATGGTGGTGGAGCTAAAGAGGCCAATCAGCATGACCGGGGACACCTGGCCGGAGCCGAGGTGCTACTTAAAGGGGACCTATCATGCAAAATGCACTTTTGTACGTCTTTTATACATGAATATGTCCCCGGTGTGTCAGGGAACTCACCAAGTGTCCGAAAACACAACCCTCTCTCTTTTCCTCCATACCCAAATCTCTAAAAACGGGGCTGGAACGGATCTGATACAGACTGATACAGATTTGAAAATAGTCTGACGTCAGTGGCGAGGAGCTCCGCCTATATGGCCAACTCTACACCTATCAGGGGAATGAGAGGTTGCCGTGGCGTGGCATTGTAACAGCATGGTAACATGACGCTCGTAACTCGGCCCCCTCATTTGCAGGGGGGCGTGGTCAGCTGCAGCGCACGCAAAGACATGGTGGAGGAGAGGAAATAGAGCAAAATGAGGCATGGCTAAAATGCATGATCTGTTTGGTATTTTGAAAAAGAAAACGTATACATATACCTTATATAGGTATGGCCCTACAATATATTATTCAAATATAGCATGATAGGTCTCCTTTAAGCCCAGCTGCCCGGAGTCACATGGCCTTCGTGACTCTCTCCAAGCCCGCTGCAGGAAGACTCTCGCCGGGATCCTTTCCCCTCGCCAATCCTCTCATGTTTCCAGTGTTGCTTTGGGAATTGCCACAAGTGCCGTGGTTTTTGGAACCCTCAAATGTCTCTCTCTTTTCCTGTTGTGGCCTACGGGCCGGTCATAACAACCCACGCCACACCCGACTACCCGCAATGTCATTACCCAGGATCATCGTGACCCCATTTATGGGCAGAGCTGGCCACTCGCGTTTTATTATTACAGTGTGTGTTAACCCGGGAGGGCTCAGGAGGCTTATTAGTCTTTGCGTTACGATTTAGTCAAATCTGCCGTTCTCAAGGCTTACGAGCTGGTGCCTGAAGCTTATCGACAGCGGTTTAGGAATTGGAAGAGAGGTGATAAATCTCACCTCGAGTTTGCTCGAGATATATCCACCCATTTTGATCGCTGGTGTGCGGCAACTGATGTTGATTCTCACGGGGCGTTGAAGGATCTCGTAATTCTGGAGCAATTCAAAAATTCTGTACCGGAGCACGCAGTGTATATCAGTGAGCACACAGTCAGGACAGCTGCTGAAGCTGCTGCATTAGCAGATGAGATGACTGTTTTGACACACGTTGGGGGAGGTGCTGCCGTACAAGGCAGTCACAAAGGAAATTCCTCGGGTATGGGAGCGTGGTCTGGTCGTCCAGTGAGACCTGCTGGGTAAGAGAGATGTATGTACATGGTGCACATGAGCCTGACAATGTGTGTAATTATTGTCATGAGCAAGGGCACTGAATAAAAGACTGCTATGCATTTAGACCTAAGGCTGAGCAGGCAGGGACTAGTGGTAGTCCCAGGCCAGCAATGTTCGTGGCACCTGACGCTGAGCAGGTGACTGGGCGTTTAGACAGTGAGTTGAAACCACAGGGGTCTAGCCCAGAACTGCAGTGTTATTTGCCTTTCAAGACTGAGGGTTGTGTTTCTCTGGTAAGGAGCGATGAGAAGGTGCATATAAAAAAAATAATTACGCGACACCAGTGCATTTGACTCATTTATATCTGCTTTACCGTTTTCAGAGGACACGTACATGGGGTTGTTTGTTCCAGTGCTGGGAATGCGATTGAATGTTCTTCAGGTATCTTTCCATAAAAATGATGCTGTTTTCGGATCCGTTTCAGGGGGAAGTAGCGGTTGGCGTGCGGCCAGCTCTGCCCATAAACGGGGTCACGATGATCCTGGGTAATGACATTGCGGGTAGTTGGGTGTGGGCTGATTGGGCACCTCCTGCTATCGTGGCTCCAGTGCCCCTGGGTAGTAGTAAGCCAGACAAGAGCGAAACGGAGTACCCTGACGTGTTTACAGCATGCGCTGTGACACGGGCAATGAAGCGTGGGCAGGCGGAGGACATGAGCTCAGCTGAAATCGATGAGGCTTCACCGCAGCATGGTGTGACGTGACTCGAGATTCCCTGGTCGGTTTCTCACGGTG